AGTGAGATTGCGTGAGTGTTTGAATAGCGATCGTGATCTTTTAACGATTAATCGTTAGGGGTGCGACGATAAATCGATTCATGTATCGATTCTGAGATTATCCGAATGCATCGTGATTCTCTCTCGAATCGATTCTGAGCTTAGTTTTGCACAGCAGATGGCGCTGCATGCTTTAGAAACAGCCGTAATCTGCTTGCTTCCAAATCCTTACACACACTTGAACCTAAAATAATCATTCATAAAATTAGAAAAGGTTGAAGTGAATTACACGGGTGTTCATAGTGGGCTGTGTTTACATTAATCTCACGTCATAAAATCATTCTGAGCCGAGGTGAAGTTACATGCCTCAATGCTCTTCGTGAGCATTTGAGTGTGCAGATAAAAACTAGAGTAGAGCGCCATCTGCTGTTAAAAACTAAGCTCAGAACCGATTCCCAGAGAGAGTTGCGATGCATTCGGAAAACCTCAGAATCGATCCATCAACCGATTTATCGTCACAGCCCTATTAATCGTGCAGCTCTACCTGACGGGCTTAGTCCAGCCTGAAGTGAGCTCACATCCACTGCTCTATGAGTTCGTCTGTACCATCACGTCTGGTGGTAGTGGTGATGATGATGGTGTTCGTGATGATGATGGTGTTCGTGTCGCTGGACCACAGGCAGCACAAAGCCGGCGCTGTGTTCGTTGACGGGCGAGGGCTGCAGTGGTTGGGTGTGTTTGGAGGGCGACAGCGCCTGTGCTCTGGCTCTGGCTCTCGATCTCTTGCTGTGGCTGTGCTGGAGACCCGTCGAGGGCTGAGGCTGGCTCTGCTGGGCGAGATGGTACACATCCGCCGGATAGAAGCCGTGGCACTTGCTGGTTTTGGCCGCAGACTGGCCACCTTTGGAGGTGCTCCTGGGGGATCTGATGGACTGGGGCCCAGCGCGCACGTGGTGAGAGAGGACCTGAGACCGCCGCTGATGGGCGTGAGTCTCGGGCTCGTGGGAACGAGAACGGCTTTGATCGTGTGAAGACCGTGACGGCTGCTCTTGCTGGGACGCAGGAGGAGAGGAACCTTGATGAAGGAGCAAATTAAAGAGAATATATTATATATTTGATAAAAGGTTACAAAAATCAAGGAATTATATTTTATAAAGGGTCAGAATAATTATCAAAATTACGGAAAATATATTTTATAAAGCGTCAGCACAATTATTAAAATTAAGGGAAATATACTTTAAATATAGGCTGGCAAAATGAAAAAATAAATTAAGGAGTTATAATATAAACAGTCAGCACAGTAATCAAAATTAAGGAAAATATATTTTACAAAAGGTCGGCAACATGAACAAAAATTAAGCAATCATATTTTATAAAGGGTCAGAACAACAATTAAAATTAAGGAATTATATTTTTTAAAAGGTAGGAAAAATGGCCAAAAATTAAGGGATTATATTTTATGAAAGGTTGGAAAAATTACCCAAAATTAAGGGATTATATATTATAAAGGGTCAGAACAATGGCCAAAGTTAAAAGTTAAAGAAAATATATTTCTAAAGGGTTAGCAAAAT